GCTTGCCAGGGAAGCGCTTATTCCACTGAGCCATCTCCTGGGCCCTGTTATTTGAGTAACTAAATTTTATTTTCCTCTTTCATTTGCAGCCCAAAGCTCTTAAACTTCTAGGAATGGAAGTAAGTAGAACTTGTTTTCAATGGTTTTATGATTATGGTTTTTTTTTTTTTTTTTTTCAATAGGATCAATGGTTTTATGATACCTTGGTCAAATATATGTAAATCCTTTGATTAACACAAAATGAGCAAATTGCTTTCCATGAATAAATCTACTACACAGCTCCCTAAGATCTACTTAGATCACTTAGCCAAATTAACAAAGGGATCACATACATTTAAAAGAATGAAAGGTATCAAATTTATTTGATAGAGTTAGAAAACCGTAGTTGTAAAAGGAAAGATGAAACAATAGCAGCAAAAAACCACCCTAGAACATAATGCCATCTACACATTCGAACATCATGAATAATACCCAAAAAAATTCAATAGGATATTTTTAAGGTCCTCAACAAGTAAAGTTTTTCAAGACTACAAATATAGCTTAATATTAATAAGTATTCTATTGGATCCTATCCAAAGTCAGAGGAAAAAGATATTACATGACAATTTGTTAGTGGATACCAAAGAGGAATTTTTTTAAATGTAAAACATATTTCTCAGTTTTTTTCAATATTTAATTATTTTATTTTTTATTTTAAAGAGGAAAAAACAAAAACAACAAGAACAAAGACAAAAACAAAGCAACATAGAATAAAAATGTACAGAATATCAAAACTAGAACAAAAAATTAACAATGGCTGTTATGTTATGTATTGTTATCAAATTTGTTGTTCAGAATACCAGATACAGGCATGCAAGATAGATCAAGCAATTAGACATTAACTCTTCCTTTGAGTAAACCTTCTCAGTTTTAAAGATGATTTAGTTCACTGGAAGATGAATGGTAAAACAAATGGTAATGTAAAAGACTTCCTTGATGTAGTCAAGGTATGTACATACCCTACAGCGACAACCAACACGATGAAGCAGTGCGTTCCTATCAAAACCAAGAAGAAGACAAGCGTGCCTATTATTGCTGACAGAATCATTGTCTTAGTTACTTTCTCATTGTTGGGACAAAATACCCGGCACACGTAAATTAAAGGACCAAAGGCTTACTTAAGCCCACAGTGTGTAGAGGTTTCAGTCCGTACTTGGCTAGTTTGAAGGCAGCCCAAATAGCAGAGGGACACAGCGGAAGAGAAACTGTCCGTGGCCTGGTGGGCAAGAGGCAGCAAGAGTTTCTTCTTCTTTCTATTTTTATTCTACCCATGTTGAAAAAAAAAAAAAAAACTGTTGGTTGGGGCCACCAATACCCAAGGTGGGCGTTTTCCCTTCCGTAAACCCCACCTCCACACAGAAGGATGCTACACCAACCAGTGGACTGATCTAGTATCCTACACTCGGGATCCACTCACTCCACAGACCCCTACTCATGAGAGCATGAAGCTTGGGGGGGCATCTATTTACAACCCACAACAATTATTAGACTTTTTAAAAAATTGGAGACAGAGTCTCTCTATGTAGTTCAGGTTGGCCTTGAACTCACTGTGTAGCCCAGGATGACCCCGAGTCTGTGGCAGTCCTCCTGCCTCAGCCTCACAAGCACTGGGAATACAAGCCTGCCACACCATGACTGGGCATTATCATTCTTAGCCTTCAAAAGATCTCTGAAAATTCTACCATATGGAAAAATAAATGCCAAAGGAAGAATACTCCAAGAGGGAAGAAAATGATTATCAACAAAAAATACTATTTTGTATTCAGATACAGAAAAGCCAAGAGTTCAACTAAGGTTCCCTCACAATAGGAAGAAAGTACCAGAAATACCCTTAGTAGGAAATTTTAAGAATAAAACACTACATATAAAAACATTTAAGTAATTAAAAGAAATGTCATTAACATAGACTATAAAGATTTATTATTGTAAAAATTCTCAAATTTCAGCAACCCAAATTCATGTGGCTTCAATATAGAAGGCTTTAATTCCGTGTTCACAATTAAGAACTGTTAATTGTGGCACCGTGGTGTTGCTCTTAGGATCCTGTTCGTATTAGGGGTATTCTATAATCTCTTAGTATCTCGAACTCTTTGTGTCAAGTTGTACTTAGCCATTGTGTGAAAGTTTATCAAACTTACCTGTATAATGGCCTGGCTCCAGCCCTGTTATATTTATCTTTCATTACCTTTATTACAGTTAATATAAACATACGTGTTTTGGTTTTCTATTTTCTAGAGCCAACATAGCAAATTTGCATTTTCTTAAACTAAATTTATTTCTTCTAGACTTTCAATTTCATTGGTATGAACCTTTATAAAGGATTCAGTCTTTTTGATCTTCATATTTTTAGTTGTGTGCCATTTCTTATTCTGATTTTTTTTTTAAATTTTGTCTTCTTTTTTTCTTAACCATAGTTGCCTACCTATTTTATTGGTGTTTTTGCTTTATTGAACAACTTCCTTTTCTGTTTCTATTTTATTAATGTCTGGTTCTATTATTAATCATTCTTTCCATATACTTTTTCTAGAGTTACTTTAGTCTTGCTTGTATACCAATAAACACTTAAATATATACATTTTCCCCTGAGAATTATTTCCATGGTACCCCACAGCTTTGGGTAAATAGAACCTTTGTTGCCTTTCATCTCTAAAAAGTTTATAATTTCCCTTCAATCCAGGAATTGTTTAGGAGTGTATGTGAAACCCTCCAGATACAGGCTTTTGTTTTGGCGACCCTAGTGTTGTTCATTTCTGTCTATTCAGGAATGTAGCCTACATGCTTTCTGCCATGTACAAGTTGTTGAGACAGGAAATTCTGCAAGTACAATGCCTGGCTGGTTTTGGTGAGACTCTCTGTAGCTACAATTCTTATGTTCATACATCAGATACAACCTGGTACCTGCAATTCAATCTGCTTCCCTGCTTACTGATTTCTTTTTCAAATTCATCTCTAAGTGAGGCGTTTTTGAAGACTTACTATGATTGTCAACGTGTGGATTTCATTTCATTTTTCCAGTTCATATTGTTATTCTATTGAGTTGTTTTTCTTTTCTTTATGATTTGTGGCAGGCCTTTGCATTTTAGGGAAATCAAATCCTTGTTATATTCTCTGTCTGGCCATTCTTTTAAGAAAATTTGTGACAGTTAATATTTTAGTAAGATTGTATGGTATTGAAAGGCAGATCTGTGGAACTTCTGTTTTAAAACATTTTCTGGCCATTAGACTATGTTTACCTCGTTTTACACATTCTTGAAAATGAAACCATGTTTACTTTTTAAAATTCTGTCATGTCCATTTTTAACCTACTTCATTGCTGGAATAAAATACCCAACATCCACAATGTAAAGAAGAAGAGCTTCATTTGGTCTTAGTGTTAGAAGTTTCAGGTCAGTTTTGGTGGGTTCGAACACAGACACAGCATGGTAGAAGGGCTGGCAGGAGAGCCGATCACGCCATGCGTGGTGGCCCAGAAGCCAAGCGACAAGAGAGGAGCCCAAGAGGAAGGTCTGCCCTTCTGGTCCACCCCCAGGGACTGCCTCCTCTGACTCGGCCCTATCTACAAACAGCACATGATCCAGCTGATTAATCCACCGATGGATACAGTGCCCCACAATCCAATCACCTTCAGGGTCTGGGAGGCTCTTGGGGATACCACAAGTCTAAACCACAGCACAGACCAACTCTCCCTAACTTACTGATTGTAGTTTTACTGTGACAAAATCTAAAACTTGGGCCGAAGACATGTAAATCAAGATGCTACCATTTCCATAAGAATATTATCATGGCTGGCTTTGACAGAACACATGCGTCACTGGTGAGGCACTTGTGAAGGGCACTGGGGAGCCGAGTTCTGCTCAGGGTCTTCAGCCTATCTGGCTGGGTGGACGCAGAGGAGCGATTCAGACTCTGAGCCACAACGTCTCCACCAGAGAGACTGGGAGGAATTCACCTCTCAGTGCAGTTGTAAGCACAGAAGCAGACAATAGGGCTGAGGGTACAGCTTGGTGACAGAGCGCCTGCTCACTATGGGCCAGACCCTGCTTTTGGTTCCCAGAAGTACAATAGGAAAAAAAATCCCTCAAGAATTTTTAAAAATTAAAGTAGATAATTGATGAGAAAGCCATTTGCAAAATGGCAAATGCAATCACCTCTCAGTTTCTGCTCGGGATTTGTTCTGGAATCTTTCAAGGATAATAAATCTGATACTCAAGCCCCTTATATAAATAGTGTCATACTTACCTAAAACCTGTACACATCTCCCTGAGCACTTTAAATAATCTCTAGATGACTTATAATACCTCATACAGTATAAATACCATGGAAACACTGATTCTACTATATCATTAGGAATAATGACAAGAAAAATTATTCAACAAAAATACAGTTTTCTTCTTTATATTTTCAATCCAAGCTTGGCTGAATCTGAAAAGCAGAACCCAAGGACACAAAGGGCTGATTGTCTCTGTTTCTGTCGTTCTCTGGGTCTAAGCCTTGGCCTGAAATAGCCTAAGCCTCACAGACTTCACTGCCAGCTCCGCTAGTCCTGACTGCCTTCCTTACAGATCCTGTTCCTTTTGCACAGCACAGGAAAAGACAGTGCCTGTCCAAGGAGGAATGTTTGCTTTTTTAAGCCATTAGAGGGAAATCTGAAACATTTTCCTCTATCCGCTTTTACATTTTTCCTATTAATGTCTGGCAGTGCTACATTTGTCAAACAAGTGTTGGTGTTTTGCCACGCTGGAAGGCTCCCTGAGGACACAGACCAGGCCCTTTACGTCTCCTGTGGTGTTACTTACCTTTAGTTTTGGGGAGGTTTTTCATTTTGTTTTAGTTTTGCTGCATCAATTAAATGCTTCTTAAAAAACCAAAACCAAAAACAATAACCCTTGCTAACCCAGGATTATAGTGTACCCAAACAGTACCATGCCTTTTGAGTTCATTTGGTTGTAAGTGGTTTGGTTGTCATAATAAGCATGTACATCATTTCAGAAGGATTAATAGACTGAGGGGAAGCTTAAGAGGTTCCTAAGAGAGCTCCTCATTACCTCTGAGGGCAAGTTTCCCTCTCCTCAGCGGTGCCAGAACCCTTTATTGTACATTTAGGAAGAACTGTGGGGTGAAATGTGTTCTTGCCTCAGGATGATGAGCCTCCAGCCAAAGGGAAGAAAAAGAAAAAGAAGAAAAAGGAAGAAGAGATTGACATCGACGTGGATGACCCCGCCGTGAGCCGGTTCCAGTACCCCTTTCACGAGCTCATGGTGTGGGCCGTGCTGATGAAGCGCCAGAAAATGGCCGTCTTCCTGTGGCAGCGCGGGGAGGAGAGCATGGCCAAAGCCTTGGTGGCCTGCAAGCTCTACAAGGCCATGGCCCACGAGTCCTCCGAGAGCGAGCTGGTGGATGACATCTCCCAAGACCTGGACAACAATTCCAAGTTAGTGTCCAGGGGTCAGTGTTACCATCGCTCGGGTCCACGTACCTGCCGCTTCCTTCAGTCAGGGGCCATTTATCTTGCCAAAAGGATCAAATGGCTCTACTCAAAGTGAGCTCCAAGGAGAGGGAGAGGCCTCTTACTGCCCCGTGCCTCCCTTTCCCCAGCATAAGGCACACCAGGGCCTTGTATAGTAAGGAAAGAGGGGAGCAGGAGTACAATGAAACACTAAAGAGTTCTGTTGTGTCACCCCTGCTGCTTCCTTCCCTGTGGCAGGGAAGCCAGACCCACCTCCTGGTCTACTATGCTGTCTCTTCATCCACTTGGAAGACAGGAGGGGAAAGTGGTTTATGCCCTGGGCATAAGGAAGCTTGGACAAGAAGGTTGTCTCTAATGGAAAAAGATTTCTAACTTCCAAAGATCCACTGTGCCGTCATAGTCACACCAGGAGAGACCACTGCCCTGAGTACCTGTCCCTCTGTGGGAAGGGGCCCCCATCATACTTCTTGCTTGAGGCTCACTGGGGTTAAAGTCACTCAGTGTTTTGCCTACTGCTTCTCTGGGGCATTTCTGTTTCTCGCTGTTTTGGCATGCTGCCTCTTCTTGCCTCAGTTCCTATGCAAGGACAAATTTCTTTACAGAAACATCCTAGTGAGCTATGCGACTTTGGGGTGTGTTCCCAGGATTGTGACTGTCCTAAGGGTTTCTCAGAGTTTTTATTTTTTACCCCCCTCCTCCCAGGTGGGGCAGGACGCCTCAAGGCACTGGGGTTGGGCATTTCTCTTCTCCTGCGGTAGATTAGGTTTAATACAAACCCAGGAGATTAGGCTCAGTTAGTTAATTAGTTTCTCCTGAGGGCAGGCCCCATTAAAAAGAGCAGTGTGCTAGGGAACATTTTAAAGTAATTTCTTTCACCCTCCTGCTGCTGGAAGCCCAGGAATTTTTCTTCTCTATTCATTGTAAGAACCTGGACAGGCTCCTGCGCAGGACGCCGCTGTGGTCCTGGAGTTTTTATCTTGTGGACCGCCTACACTGGCCAGCAGAAGCACCTTGCCCAAGCTCTGTTTCCTACTCGCTCTGGGCTACGCTGTCTCTGCTCCAGTGAGTGGCGATTCTCTGCGCCCGCCTATCTGTCCCTCCAGATTTGGGCCAGCAGTCTTTCCTGGGACCTCATTTCTCGGATGGAGATAGGAAGAAATGCTGGCTTTTTTGTCGTGCTCAGATTTTGCTTGTTAGCACAGACTGGCAGCTGCCCAGCTCCTCATGCACCAGAGTGGAGAGCTGAATTCGCAGCCCAACTACGTGAGCGCAAGGAGGCAAGCACGGAGTCCTCTGCCAACACCCAGCATCTCTGCGGGCTACATCCCGCCACTTTTATTTTGGACGCAGTGCATTCTAAAATTACTAGCCAATTTCTAAATGTTCGGAGTTTGAGGCTGAATGGGGACATGTTCTCTTACCTCAAAAATTTCAGATGCCATGCCTTGCTCCCTGGAGTTCTCCCTGGTAATATGTCACCTGCAGCCCAGGACATGGGCCAGAGGCAGGAGTTACTGCAGGCAGCAGGCCTCACAGGGCACAGGGAAGGCCATTCCCACACACATAATCCTGCTTTCTCCATCCTTCAGCTCATGACAGTGACACAATCTAGAAAATGAAGGAACAAAAACAGAGGAAAGCAATCCCTACATGTCCACATTTTAGTTACATTCCATGACAAAATGCTAAAGGGATAGGATGTGATTTTGGCAATCCCTAAGTATTAGAATCAGGATCAGGGAAAAAGGAAGAAATCTGATGTTCAAAACCTAGTGTGTGTCGTATTCCCGGTGATTGCCCCCAACATATGCACACACACACACACACACACACACACACACGCATGCCCTGTTCCTGCCACCTCCCCTCCACGAGCAGTTAGATGCCCTCCTCCAGGCCTTACGATGCCTACACCTTGTCTTGGCCTTGAGGCTGACTTTTCTGGTGACCAGTGCTCTATGGGAGCGCTACACATGTGCAGAGAAAGCACACGCCCAATGTATGTTTTGACTGTTCACAAATACAACACAGACACAGTCAGCACCCAGATTAAGGAACAGAGCCGCCCGCAAGTCCTCCTGGCATCCTCTTTCAATGCCCCTCCCCCAAGGAGCGCATCTCCCCCAACTGCCAACTGCTCAGGTGCCATTTTTCAACTTTCCTTGGTCCTCCGGTCTTCTCTATATCCCCAGGGCCTGAAGGGCAGATGCAGGGCCAACCTGTCACCCTGTTTGTAACAAGAATAATTAGTTCCCAACCTACCGAGCACCTCAGTCCAACTGAGGATTCTTTGGCAGTGGCTCCCATGTCTCTGCAGAAACGTCCACCTTAAAAGATCTCATGGACATGGCGGCTTCACCCTGGCTCCCTCTTTCTCTCCAGAGACTTCGGTCAGCTTGCAGTGGAGCTGCTTGACCAGTCCTATAAGCACGACGAGCAGATAGCCATGAAGCTGCTGACCTATGAGCTGAAAAACTGGAGCAACTCCACTTGCCTCAAACTGGCTGTGGCAGCCAAACATCGGGACTTCATCGCCCACACGTGCAGCCAGATGCTGCTGACAGACATGTGGATGGGAAGGCTTCGAATGAGGAAAAACCCTGGCCTGAAGGTAAATGCTGTGGAGCCTTGAGGTGGGGGAAGACAGCACTGACAAGGGACATCTATTGAACTCTTCCATCCCTGCTAAGCTGAGCTAAGCACCTCCTGCAGGTCATTCCAATCACAGGATTACCCCTTGTTCAAGTTTTTTTTTGTTTGTTTGTTTGTTTTTAGTACACAATTCTTATTTATTTATTTATTTATTTATTTATTTATTTTGAGGAACCGGGGATTGAACTCAGGCCCTTGTGTTTGCCAAGGAAGCGCTTATTCTACTGAGCTATCTCCCCGGCTCCCACAATTCTTTTATTTTGCAAAAGGTAACAAAATATACAGAACAAAACTTTCCCTTTTTAAAACTAATGTTACAAACCCATATTATCCCTTACCTATAAGTACTATACTTTAGCTGGTTATTATTAGTTAGATGTACATCCAACAGTGTATTCCTATAACTGTTTAAGCAAAAAGCCAGAAGTTTATCGGAGTCTGCCGGTAGCATGCATCCCACGTGACTGTGGCAGATTCTGCCAGCTGAACGGAACAACTGGAGGAAGCCGTCACATGTGGCACAGGGCTTTAGCTCATACAGGGCTGAATTTTTTACCTCCAAAACACGTACGTAGACAGAGATGAATCCTTCATAGAGATCAAGAACAAATCAATCAGTGTAAGCTTATTCCAAAAGTGTGGCACAAATGCAGGCCACGATGTGGTTTCCTTAACCATACTAAGCCTCGTACACCCGCCAGTGTGGAGTTTGTACTTGGGTTCCACAGGCGCCGTAAGTCCATCAGGCCTGCTCCAAGGATGCAGCAGGAAGTTTCACCTTCCTTGGTGTCAGTTACCCAAAATCAACAGAGTCCAAGAATACTGAATGGAAAATTCCAGAAATAAATAATTTATAAGTTGACTGTTTCAGTACTGGGGTTGGAGCTCAAGTCCTGGTCCCTGCTAGGCAAGCCCTCAACCACTGAGCTACACGCTCAGCTTCCGTCATAACTTTTCAGTTGTGAACTATCCAAGTAGCGTGATAAAATCTCACCTGATCTCAGCCCCGCCCACCAGATGTGAGCCATCCCTTTGCACACCACCCACCTGTCAGTCACTTAGTAGCTACCTTGGTGTTCAAACAACGGCCCCAGTAGCACAGAATTTGTATGAAAATGACTTACTTAAATTTTGATTTTACTTAATAATGGCCTCAAAAAAAGAAAAACAAACAAAAAACCAAAAACAAACAAACAAACAAACAAACAAAAAAACTAGTGATGCAAAAGGAGCACCGGGGCACAAAACTTAGATAAACAAATCAGCTCTAGTATTATGTGGCAATGCTGCATGACATACAGGAAAAAATCAGAATATATAGGATCTAATTCTGTCCGTGGTTTCAGAAGTCCGCTAGGGGTCTTGGAACACATCCCTCACAGATAAAGAGGGACCACTGGCTTGCTCTGAGCAATCCCAGGAGGGAGATATGACGACGATCCTTGCCTTATAGATGGGGAACCTGAAGCTTTGACAGTAAGTAGCCTAGGTTCCGAGCTGGCCCGCGAGAGACCACGCCCTGCACCACTGTGGTCAGTAATGCCAGAGACCCTGTACCCACCATGCTTGGCATATACCACTCCCCATCCTAGTCCATGTCTTCACCTGGAGCCTACTAGTCTTGCACCCTGGACAAGTCACCTGCCCACTACGAAAGCGGGGAGCTGAGCTCTGTTTCTACAGGTTTCCTTCTACGCTGAAAATATGCGATGTTATCTTAAATATGATGATTTCACTACATGGGGCTTATGAGAGAATACTGAGCTATGGAAAGATTTGAAAAAGATATAGTGGAGAGACAATTCTATTTCAATCAATAGAAACAGCTATCTCTGCTGTTTACTACTGTCAACTACTAGGTTATCTTAAGAAACTATTCTGCTTTACAGGTACAAGATTTCTAGTGGTAATTTTTATGAGATTGCTATGAGAATGAATAACAACCAATATAGGTAGAGCCTCCATTTCCTAAAATGTTTGAAGTGCATTTGCATATTTTCATAAACATAATAGGGTATGTAGTAGATGGCATCTAAGTCTAAATATGAAATTCACTTATGCTTCATGTATACCTTGTACATATAGCCTGAAAATAATTGCATATAATGTTGTTAGTTCACCTATATTTTATGACAAGTCAGATGAGGTTAAATGTGGATTTTTCCCACTGTGGCATCATGTCAGCACTCAAAAGTGTCAGGCTTTATTTTATTTATTTATTTATTTATTTATTTATTTATCTATTTATTTATTTATTTATTTATTTATTTATCTATTTATTTATTACCGGGGATTGAACTCATGATCCTACATGTGCCGGGCAGGCGCTTATCCCGCTGAGCTATCTCTTCAGCCCAGTTTCAGGCTTTTGAGCATTTCAAGCTTCAGATTTTTGAATTAGGCACTCTCCAGCTGTATGAAGTTATCCTTTGTAACATGAGCAAGTGGAACATACTTTGTCTCTTAAAAATATGAACGTTATGCCTGTCTAATTCTGTATCGTACACTAAGCTGATATTGTACAAGACCCTAAATACTAATGAACAAGTGGTTTCAGAACACCAAGAATAAAGAGGTCCTAAAGGTTTTTGAGAAAGCAGTTACCTGCGAAGTGAGGTGTATATGACTGACCACACACTGCAGCAGGAACACTGAAGCCTAGAAGGTGGCGATGCTGCAAGGCTTTCGTGGTTCAGGTGGGAAACACTGGGAACCTGAGTTCAGGGACACAGGAGGATGTGCATGGCGTAGATGCAAACACTCAGCTATTTAAGGTTCTAGAGCAGTGCTGGCAAACCCGCGGCATGCCTGCCATGTGGTGCACCTGTCATGTGGCTCATCTGTCATGTGGCACCCCTATCATGTGGCATGCCTGTCATGTGGCAAGCCGGTCACAGTGGGCAGTTGGTGTCACTGAATGCTCTCAAAGGCTCCCTGTCATTGCTCTCGGGCATCCACCCAGAGCTTGGTGCCCACAGGGGCTCCTGGAACCAATTGCTATGGATGCGAAGGGGCCACTGGACAGGGTAATTTTTCTAGAATCACCACAGCTTAAACACTCGTTCACTTCTCATCATTCGTAGGTTATCATGGGCATCCTCCTTCCACCCACTATCTTGTTTTTGGAATTTCGCACGTATGATGATTTCTCATACCAAACATCAAAGGAAAATGAAGATGGCAAAGAAAAAGAAGAGGAAAATATGGTCAGTGCTACCCTTGATCCTCAGAGATCACTCTCTTCTCCTTTTCCACATTTGCTTGCTGTGGATTTAGAAAACCTATTAACTGGAGGGTAGTGGGGTTGGGTGTTGCTCTTTCCAAAGGTGCCCGTGTGCTGGGTGCTGCGTTTCTCACTTAGCAACCTGCCTGCCCCACATTGTCCTCTTTTCTAGGATGCAAATGCAGACGCTAGCTCAAGAAAGGGCGATGAGGAGAATGAGCACAAAAAGCAGAAGAGCATTCCCATTGGAACAAAGATCTGCGAGTTCTATAACGCGCCCATTGTCAAGTTCTGGTTTTACACAGTAAGCCTTCCTTCCTCCCTACCATTTGCTATTCAGTGGGATATGTTGGAGTCAGAGAGAATTTCAAGGTCTTTAATAAGATTATGAAAACAAAACTGGAATTTGGGAATATGGACATCCTGGTCCCAAATACATCATTTTTTTTTTTTCTTTCTGTATTTAGGACAGGGTCTACGGGGTCTCACTACAGAGATCGGACTCATAGTGATTCTCTTGTTTTCAGCTTCCCAAGTGCTGGGATTATAGCCACGCCCAGTCTCAGTCACTGGCTCAGGGGCCAGCACAGCAGGCCCAGGGATCAAACCCCCGCCGCTGCACTCTGCCTAAGCAGACGCTTTAGTCCGCTGAGCTATCAGGCCGGCCCTCACCATTTCATAAAGCAAACTAGTCACATTCTGTTTGCCTATGAGGAAAGATTTTCAAATGCCTTGAACAATACAAACTTAAGGAAATACAACTTGATTTTAAAATTAACAGAGACAAATAGTAAATTAAAGAGTGAACTCATGGACTCTATTTTTCATTAAATTTGGGGTTATTAAAAGGACAGAGAGCTGATGTTAGTCAGCTTCTTCACTATAGCACACACCTGAGATAACCAACTTAGAAACTCAGGTGCTCAGTTTGGGAGATGCCAATCCATGATCAAGTGGCCCTGGTGCTTTTGGGGCCCCAGCAAAGCAGCAGATCACAGCAATGTGTGGCATGTCGCAGCAAAACCACTCACCTCATGGCCAGTTAGTGAAAGAGATGAGAAGGACGGCCATCCACGATCGCCCTCAAGGGCCCAGCATCACCGACCTAACTGCCTCCCACTAGGCCCTGCCTCTTCATGGTCCACTCTCTCCCAGTCACACCGTGGACTGGAGAATAGGCCTTTGGCACATGGCCTGTTGAGCTAGGTCAGAAATACAGTGTGGCTGAACCCAGCTCATGAACTCTGAAGAGGGAGAAGCAATCGAAATCTCTGTGCTCAGCAGGGCTCGCCACCCTGCAGCCTCCTCTGGTGTCCAGGGCTGCACTAGCTGAGCGCGAGATTCACAGGAGATGAGAGCAGAAGTAAGGGCAGACTCGTTGTAGGGTTTTTGAAGCCTACTGTAGGCAACCCTAGGAGGGGTAGCCAGACACACGATGCCTGGTACCCACGTCAGTATGGAGAAGAAGGGTCAATATTTCTCATGAAGTCCAGCTATAGTCCATGGAATGAAGGTTCTACCAGTGACTGGGGAGAAGCAGGTGGTGGGACATGGTGGGGGGGTTGGTACGAGGTAACGAGTGGGCAATCAGTGAGGGTGGGCGGGGGGGGGCAGAGCATGCTTTCAAGGTCAGCTGTGGCTCTGAGCACCCAGCCCCTCGGTATTCACATCTGACAATGCAACTGAAGCCACTGCTGCGCCTATTCCTGGTCAGAACCAGGAGAGGGCCCTGAGGGCGTGTAGCCTGCAGGATGCTCAGGTCCAGATGATTCCCGCACGGTAGAGGCAAGGGGCTGACAGCTCAGTGCAGGCTTCTCAGCCTTGGGCCCCACCCCCAGGCCCTCCCAAGCTCTCTGGATGTGGTAGGGAGCGTCACACATTCACAGCTGGCTGCAGATTCTAACACAGCCCAAGTTTGAGAACTCTGACGTCAAACCTCTTGCAAGGAATAGATAGTTGTCTGGGGTCGCTTTCTGTCTCTGTAACAGAATATTTGTGAACAGGTCATTTGTAAAAGAAGGGTTCATAGTTCTTGAGTTCAAGACCATGTTGCGGGCATGAAGCTTTTCTAGAGAGGGTCTCGTAGAAGCTCAACTCATAAGGCTAACCAGGAGGGAAAGCAGGCATGCGTGACGGTGGGGGAGAGGACGAAGGGGCTAAGCTGCTTTATAGCCGCTCCCCACTGACAGAACCAGGCTTTCCCCAGACAGCTGGTCATGGAGGGAGAGGGAGAACTGCCAGAGGGAGAACTCCTTCCCTCCCGAGAGATGGAGATGGCGTAAATCTAGGCACAAGGGCTCCTCCTTCAGGCCCTAAATGCCTCCTGTTGGCCCTACCCCTTCTCAACACCATCACCTTGGGAACCAAATTCCAATTGTGTGTGTGTGTGTGTGTGTGTGTGTGTGTGTGTGTGTTTGAGATACCAAGGATTGAATTTGGGACCTTGTGCTTGCCACGCAGGCATTTTATGTTGCTGAGCTATTTCCCCTGTCCTCAAATTCCATTTTAGCACAGAAAAAACACACCTTGCCCTATTAAAAATGAATACAAAGGATTTTACCTGTACCCTGACAAAATTTAGACAACTAGCAGGACAATCTTAAAAAATAAATAAATAACCAAGTCGCAAACATATGATTGCTAGCACTCCTCTTCCGCATCTCCAGGAAGTCCCTGCCCGAGGGAAGGACCCCAAAGCTGAAGTTTTCACAGCTTCATGGACAACTGACTGAGGACAGCAGCTTCAGATGCCCTCTCAGCACCCCATTTCTCAGTCCCATGTGTCCTGCCTCGATCCCACTCATACAACTCCTTCCTTTCCTGCCAAAAAGTTAGGAAATTTCTCGTGCCCACCGAATACCACTTCTGTCACCCCTCAGTCCCACATCCTGCTGACGTATAAAATGCCTCTGCTCCACCTGGAGGTTCTCTACAGAAGTCAGTCGAGTTGTAATAAAATCTCATCCTCCAGGACACACTGACCTGCAAATATCCGAGGGGGCCGAGCCTCCTCTTAGGTTGGCTCCTGGGCCTGAGCAGATGGTTCATTCCCATGTGCTCGCTCCCAACCTCGTTCCGTCCTTGGGAGTAGAGAGAGGAAAGGGGGATTTGTGAAGCTGGGAAGAGCCAGTAACATTTTCCAGTTCCCAGAAATGTAGAGGACACACCAACAAACTGTAAAAAGTTTTTTCTAAAGTATAAATGGTTTTCATAAAACAAAAGAATAGGGCCAGGCTGATAGCTCAGCAGACTAAAGCGCCTGTTTAGGCAGAGCGCAGTGGACAGTCGGGCTTGCCCTGCTGGCCCCGCCCATGGGGTGTGCTGAGACAGTGAATGAGACTGGGCGTGGTGGTGCACGCCTGTCATCCCTGTGCTTGGGAGGCTGAAAACAGGAGAATCACCACAAAGTCCGATCTACATAGTGAGACCCTGTAGACCCTGTCCTAAATATAGAAAAGAAAAAAAAAAAAAGAATAGACAATAGGAAGCAGGGGGCTGGATCATTTGTAAATGGGAAAAAAAACCCAGAGGCAGGGGGAGGGAATATGAACAGAAAGTAACAGAAAACAGAAAAATTAAGATATGTTACATACATGTACATACTCCTTAAAATAAACATTATGAACTGCAGCATGTACTAATAATTTTTTAAAAGTTTCCCTATATAATAATCACTATGGATCACAAACATATACTAATAAAATTGTCTTATTTATTCATTTATCTATTTATTTTTGTCTTTTTGAGACAGGGTCTCACTATGCAGTTTAGGCTGGCTTTGAACTCACTTTATAGCTCAGGCTGGTCTCGAACTCCTAACAATACTCCTGTCTCAGCCTCCCAAGTGCTGGGATTACAGGCATGTGCCACCATGCCCAGATAAAAGTGTTTTAAATAAATAAAATTTCCTATGTTTCATGATTTTTGCAACTTCATAATTCTCTCCATGAGGTTGTCAACACCAATAAATATATTTTCACCTAGTAAATGGAACGTCAGGTCTCGTATCCTGTGAACATATAAAATACCTCCCGTCTGCCTGGAGGTTCTCTACCTAAGTCATCCCAGTTGGAAATAAAGCTTCATTCCAAAGAATACATCAATGTGAAAAGAAAATTTCAAAACCTCACTCTGGGGTGTTTCCCCAGGACACAGCTCATCCAAGCGTGTCTTTCTTCCAGATATCGTACCTGGGCTACCTGTTGCTGTTCAACTACGTCATTCTGGTGCGGATGGACGGCTGGCCCTCCCCGCAGGAGTGGATCGTCATCTCCTACATCGTGAGCCTGGCGCTGGAGAAGATCCGCGAGGTGCTTACCGGAGACTTGACCCTGCCCACTATGCCCAGGCCCCTCCCGCTCTTCCTAGAAGAGCATTTCATACAGACGATGGTGCTGTGCTATTTGGCATTTGAAGTGTTACCACCCGTTTATTCCAGTGTCTTGTGTCGGACGGACATGCCTTCTCCTACTAAATTTGAACCTCAAAATCCAAGCAAAATAAATGACATTTAATAAATAAAAATAGAGTCCATCTAAAAGTCACTGCACATGTTGCCAGATACTTGGAATAAGCCAGTTACTATAGCTGGGTATAAATGTACCTCAGTTTTCTGGAATCTGAAACTCAAAACAGGGCCATAGGAGAGGCCATGTTTGCTGCAGCGTGGAACTTCGGCTCCTGCTGGGCTCCGGCATGCTGCCCGTGCAACTCCTGTGCAGGTCCTTTGTGGAAAGAGGTTCTGAGTGAGAGAAAGCGAAGGACACTGGGGCCTGGTGGTTGCAGTTAGGATCAGTAGGGTTCGCCCTAACCCTACAGGGGATGTGAGTGAACCAGGAGCTCACAAACTGCCCCACTGGGACAGAAAGGAGTGGAGTTTTGGTCTCCTATCAGTTGTTTGACGCCCACCAGAGAGACAGCTCCAACTGGTGAAGTGTAAACTTCCCAGAGAGGGCAGATGTGGGCTTCACAGAAGCCCCGGGGGAGATGGGGTGGGCATGCGTCCCTGGTGAACAGCTGCGGGGGACCCAGTCAGGGTCAGAGCATCTGCTGTGAATGAGCATTCCACTACGTGTTGAGAAAGAACAGATACTGTCTTATCTCACACGACTTGTATATCAGAGAGGTTTGCAAATTTAAACAGAACTCCAAGAAGGCCATTTCGGTAGGTATCTGAGGAAATAGGGGCCAGGTACTTCTCTTCCTGATGTCATCAAGTTTGAAATTTCTATGTTAACTTATAAAGAGAATGTTTGTACCCAATCAAAACACACATATGAACTGAAAAGGCACCCAGGAAGCTTTCCTAACCTCTCTTTTCTGATACAGAATCAATATGATTTTGCAATTACTATTGTTCCTTTCACTAGATTGAAAAATGACTGCCTGGTGACCTCACCAGGTGGAAGGAGTTTGATGTCATCTATCTAATGCGAGCCTGACAAACCAAGAGTGCTGAATCCAAAACTGTATGGCTCATCCTTTTCTAGGACTACCTTTCTTTCCAGCTGGGCTCCATTCAAATTCTGAGCTGCTACAACTGGGCATTCCCAAGTGCTCTGCTTTATGATAGCTACTACCATCATGATTAGGCTGAGCAAAACCTTTACCCCAAATGTCTGCCCTCCGGGTACAGGAGATAGAGCAGACATCATCCGTGTGCATAGCTTATTAAACTAGTGAGACTCCCTATACTACCACGTAGGCAGCCACTATCCCATTGCACCTGGGGCCCTGGGCTCTACCCCACCTCTAGGACTAGAGGGCTCCCTCAGACACAGCAGCCCTCCCCTGCGGCAGCATCACTACTGGCTCACCAGGAGGGCTCTGCTAGTGGGGGTACGCCACTTGCCGAAATGCTCTCATATTCTGTAGAAATCTCTTTTTTTTTCCATAATTTTATTGAGAAATAAATAGCAATGAGACAGTTTCAAATCAAATTGGTAGGACAGTTCCAATAATTAACACATTGCATACTGCCTTCCTAGTGGCTGTTTATACAGATGCAGATATGATATTCTATTTACAAACACTATTAGAACAAATCAACCAGTCACGATTTGGAAAGGCTACCCCAAGTCATGGAAAATCTGGCTCAACCTTCCCCTGACTTCTCTTGTTTAAGTTGCAAAGGAATTCTGTCAAATCAACCTTTCCTAGCCCCGCTCTGAGGGATCCAATAGCAAGGCTGCCCCACTGGGGGACAACCCATGATTCATAGGAAGATTCTAGAGCTTTCCTCCTGCATATGTGTAGAATGTGAGTCAACAGGCATGGGTCCGGTAATTAGAAAAGAAATCAAAAGGCAGCTGCTTTAATTACAGCCAGAAGGAGAGAATTTGGAAGGCATTTCCTGAGAGTTTATGGAAGCCTGGCTCTAAGAACACAGAGGATTCTGTGGTATTTCCCTTTCTAGGTATCTCTCTGCCTGTGAACATTGTTGTTTGGAGGTTTTGAGCAGGAAAGGGATCAGATGCCCTGGAATGTTCCACAAGTCTTATCTTACTGGGATTTAAGAAGACAAAGCTTCCAATAAAACTCTCAGTTTATTGTTCTTTGGGGTTTATTTTCAGATCCTCATGTCAGAGCCAGGCAAACTCAGCCAGAAAATCAAAGTTTGGCTTCAGGAGTATTGGAACATCACCGATCTCGTGGCCATTTCCATGTTCATGATCGGAGCAATCCTTCGCCTACAGAACCAGCCATACATGGGCTATGGCCGGGTCATCTACTGTGTGGACATCATCCTCTGGTACATCCGTGTCTTGGACATCTTTGGTGTCAACAAGTACCTGGGACCCTACGTGATGATGATTGGAAAGATGGTTAGTAGTGATGCTTAGTAATGTGGAACCACGAGTATGCGAATGTGGCTAACATATCAGATCAGGGGTTGAGTGTGGGTCCTTCAATTTTGTTTGTTCTTTCCTTTGCAGCTGATTGCTTACAGGATTTCTTCTTTGTTTTGAGACACATAGATTTCCTGCACATTGATAGAAATAAAATCTAATAGAACAACACGAGCTGAGGGCTTACTAAATATACATGCATATTCCTACACACATGGAATGTATATATCAATATATACCATCATCCTTTGATGCCATATTTAAACTGAGAAATGACCATTTAATTTCATTTTTAAATTCTTCCTGGTGTATTGCAAATGTGTATTTTTTTTTTTTTTGCAAATGTGTATTTTGACAATGAAATAAAAGAAAAATATCTCCAAATTTTATCAGAGCTTGCTTCACCTTCTTGGAACATAAAAGAACAGCAATTTTTGATTCAATAGAATTTAGAGGCACAATAGAGTATCTCAAAATATTTACATCTTGGTGATTAGGACCATATTTTTAGCATGCTTTGGCATAGGAATCTAGATTTTATATTCTAAAAGGTTACAGCTATTTCAGGATGTTTGATGGGAAAAATTCTAAACTGTAGTAGAGTCCAGAAATAAAGGGGGCCTGGGGCCACCCTGCACCTGCACTCTGGTCTTTGGCTCCTGGCCTCTGGCCTGGAGTGGACATGTGTTCTTCTTGGGATTAGGCCCAACCACATCCATGGCGACAGGTCCTAGAGTATGAAATTAACATGACCAACCAAGCATCCTTATACTGCCTGTGGTAACCCTGGCATTAGGACTGCACCCAAAACTTACTGAATAATTAAATAGGCCTAGTCAACTTGGAGATAACTCTTTAGGCCAAGCAGCTTGGAGCTATGAAAAAAAATATGCTTTAGTTAATTCCAGTGAGGCCCTTTTGCTCGGGGATGTTCAACCTGCTTACTATCCATAGTAACCAGAACACTGTGTGTTGCAACCACTCGGCATTTGTATAATAGAAGAATGTTGGTGCATATGCTCAATTCATTATCCGATTATTTTCTTAGGTGTATCCTTTTTCTACTTTTTATCTTCTCTTGAAAACTCTCATCTTTTCTTATACTTCTTCCCAATTTGCAACTGCAGTGACTAGAGGAACATCTGTTTATGGGTGAAGAGCCTGCTTTTGGTCACTACAATAAAATGCAAATTATAAAAGGTTTTCTAGGTGCAGGCAGCACATGACTATAATTGCAGCTACTTGGAACCCCAAAACAGGAAATCCCAAGTTCAAGGCTAGCCCAGGCAACTTAGAGAAACTGTCTCAAAACAAAGCAAAGGGCTGAGAATGTAGCTTAATGGGAAGCACTTGCCTCCTGCAAGGACCCACCTCTCAAAGGTTCTACTGCCCCTAATAGTGCCACTAGGTGCTAAGCCGTTGCCACAGGGGCCACTGAGGCACATTCCAGATCCAAATACTTGGCAGCAGTGGGCAGTGATGGAGGAGAAACTAGGAGGATTAGGAGAAAATGAAGACAGCAGTTTTTTAAGAACAAGATGAATGTAGTATGAGGAATAGAAAAGCCAGTAGCCTGTGGGGGAAGAGAAAAGAAGAGAAAGAGGGTTGGTTCCTTTGTCCCAATTAAATCAGCAATTGTGAAGCCTTTTGTGAGCCTGGATGACTTCGGTCCACGCGTCCAGGCAGTAAGAGACCTCTGATCTCCCCACCCAGATGATCGACATGCTGTATTTCGTGGTCATCATGCTAGTTGTGCTGATGAGCTTCGGAGTAGCCCGGCAGGCCATTCTACACCCAGAGGAGAAGCCTTCCTGGAAACTGGCCCGCAACATCTTCTACATGCCCTACTGGATGATCTACGGAGAAGTGTTTGCAGACCAGATAGACCGTAAGAATAGAATTCATAGTAAGATTCTCTTCCCTGCTTCTGAGGCAGATGATCAGTTCCAAATTAATGGAAGAGCATGCATTAATTTGGAAGTAAAGTGGTCTTCATCCTGCGATAGGCACATTACTTTATGGAAAAATAAGGGTAGACTATGGAATGTAAACTTTGAGATATCAGTCATTTCTTTAACTTTAAAAACTATTCACTAGGGTTCTGAGTTTCACTTTCCTCAAGCCAGACTTGGAGAATATATTATGACCCAACAGCCTACTTTTTCCTCAATATGTTTTTACTCTAGGAAAAGAAAGTTGTGTGATTTCAGTAGAATAAACAGTGCAAGCAGGGTAACTCATGTCCCCTATCATCATCTTCTTCTTCTTCTTCTTCTTCTTCTTCTTCTTCTTCTTCTTCTTCTTCTTCTTCTTCTTCTTCTTCTTCTTCTTCTCCTTCTCCTTCTCCTTCTCCTTCTCCTTCTCCTTCTCCTTCTTCTTCTTCTTCTTGCTATCAAAGCCCATTTTCCACTTAGCCATTCATTCCTTCTGCACTACTAGTACTATTTTTCAGTATTATATTTTTAATAACAACCCAATAAATTAAAATATTTATGGTGATGGTTTGATAAATATATACAATGGCACTATCTTTTATTATCAATAATAATTGGGATATAAGAAAAGGAAACGAAGCACAATCCCATATTGATTTCTGGGCAACTTAGTTCCTGGTTCTCCTGTTGTCTGAGCTGGTGGGTCACAGCTGTGTCACAGAGATGTGAAACTCAAATGTTTTTGTACCCACTGAACAAGGGCGTTAAGGCTCTTCTAGGAAACATGGTGCTTCAGTCCCATTTTCTTATCAGTGCCAATATTTTCATTTGTATCATGTATTTATCATAAAGCATCAGGTATAACAGCATGGAAGAGTTCTGCTGTTTGGAATAGAAGGTTTGAGTGTCTACCTCCCTTAGGAATTACAAGGCTGGTCAGTATTTCTAGTAGGTCAGACTGATAACAACCTTACTCATTACATTCTTTCTAGCTTTCGTACTGTGATTCTTGATAACATTATTTTTATTAGATTCACAGAGCCAACTGTTGGATGTGTTTTTAGGTTGGAAAACAGAACATAAAAACTTAATTTGATTTTCAGTGCACAAATTCCTTGAAAAACTACAATTAGAGGGCCCTCTCATTCCACCCAGCTGTGTCCCTGTTGGGTGTCTTCCTGGGAGAATTAAAAACATCATACTACAGAGATATATATGCACATGTTTATAACAGCACAGTTCATAATAGCTAAATCTTGGAAACAACTCAAATGCTCATCAATTGAGGAATGGATAAAAAAAAAAAGACTAGGCCTTATAATACAATGGAGTATTACTTAGCCATACAGGAGAATAAACAAGATACTTCTAGGTCACTGGGTACAACTTGAGACCATACTGATAAGTGAAATAAATCAGACACACATATATAAAAATCATATTGTCTGCCTGGTGGGAGAAACTGAAGGAGTAAATAAGGACCAAAAGTGCAACAGGCATTGGGAAAGGGGAAGAAATTGTTCAATAGAAAAAGGAACGAGGGTGGGTGAAAGCAGAAAGGACAGCAGGGAAAAGGGAAAAATGCAAATCTGTTATACTGTTAGTGTCTCTTAGTCCATTAAAAAAAGGTTTGTGGTAATACTGATTGGAGAACGTTTTATGCCCTTATCTTGAGCCCTGAGCAACTAAGATAACAATATGAAATGCATTAGCTACTGTTATCCCCCATTATTGTTATGAAATTTTGTTTTATCTTTTTTCCATAAAGTAAAAAAACCTTAATTTGATTTCAGAGTATATTAGCCCAAATAAGCATACATATTTCCTTAAGAGTGCCTGAACTCCAGATATAAGCTGTAACATTTCGCTTCTCTTTTTAAAATTAAATTGGATGAAGGAAGATAAAAAGGTAACCTTAAAACTATAATATGTTAGGGCCGGGGAGATGGCTCAGTGGAATAAGCGCTTCCCTGGCAAGCACAAGGACCTGAGTTCAATCCCTGGTTCCACAAAAAAACAAAAACAAAAACAAAACAAAACAAAACAAAAAAAAAAACTATAATATGTTCAGTGATACCATTGAATGTCAGTTTTATAATCTTGGTCTATTACACAAGAATTTTGCACCTATTTGTGTTTCTGCAGTCTTTCTGGTGCAAAACACCGAGTGCTTAATTGAACAGCCTGCGAATTAATATGATCATCTGCCACTAACATCAAATCTTCTTCACAGTATTTTTAACTAGTGAGCTTTTCTGTTGCTTATGAAATATGGTGAAATAAATATTCATGGAATACTTTTCCTAGGGTTAATATGTACAATTCTTCTAAACAGAGCATTGTTTCTAAGTGAATCCATGAACCCCAAGCTTGAAGTGTTTGCATTTCTTGTCAACAAAATAGTCCTTATTTTGTTAAACTATTTGTTCTACTTTCTCTCAACCATCATCTTTTTTCTTTCCTCCTCTCCTCTCTTATCACAACCAAAAAAACGAACGAAATTCCTGCCTTCTAATCACTGTATAGTGTACGCCATGGAAATTAATCGTAAGTTGCATGGAATTAATTACTTTGGTTCATGAAATGTGTTTATTAAGTAGTTTTCTCTTTAGTTGGGCAGTGAAAGTGCTAACCTGATTTTCAAATCTGACTTCTGTTTTCTGACGTCAATACTTTTTCTAAACTGCAAGCAAAATGTAAGACCGTGCCATACATTCAGTGTTGAAACCATCCCGCTTTTACCTTTTGGAAATGGGGCTGTGATCAAAGTGGCCTTTCAAATGAGCAGAGGGAGAAAGATTATTTCTCAAACATGACCCCAGAATGCAGAACGGTTGACTTGAGAGGATAGTGGGGATACCCACCCCACATTTGAGAACAAAATTATTTTCAAATTTAATGTACAAATGTATCCAAGGCAACAAGTAGAAGACAACGTAATCTAATGTTAAGCCACTAGAAGACGTGAGTCTGTAATAACGATATAGAAAGACACCAGGAAGATGTGTTTCTATTTAATCATTAGGAGCTTTTATATGGAAAAACAATAAAGAGACAGGAAAATGTATGCAAATATGACAAACTAAGAACGACGGAGTATAGATATGAGATCTAAAGAAAGTCATCTTCTCTGTATGAATTGATGCTTTTCATCACATGAAAATATTAACCGTAAATATTTCTTCTTTTCACTAACTATGAAAAGGAAACACAAAAGCATGACCATTTCTTTCAGCGCCATGTGGTGAAAACCTCTACGACGAGGACGGCAAGCGGCTCCCCCCTTGCATCCCCGGCGCCTGGCTCACGCCCGCGCTCATGGCCTGCTACCTCCTAGTAGCCAACATCCTGCTGGTGAACCTGCTGATCGCCGTCTTCAAGTAAGTGGGCGGCTGACCAGCACGCGGCTACTGTGCGCGCTGCAGCTGCTGCTCGCGCTGCCGCAGGTTGGGAGACTCGCCTTCCCTCGCTGGGGAGAACTTCGGTGGGGCTTTTCCATGAGTAGGATTTTTGCAGTCTTTACTGTACAACCTTAATCAGCCGCACAAAATTCTTAGACTTGAACCAGGCCTTGGGGAGAGCCTGGCTCCCGCTCCTGCCCTGAGAAAGAAGACGGAAGCCTGGACCCTGCCTGGCCTCCCACCGCCCCAGCGTTTGCCGTTACTGCAACTCTCTGTCTGCTGCCTCTTGTGGGTGAAAACAGGACAGCTCACGCTTACCTCATATCCAAAATAGCACGTCTTCAATCCAGAAGCTCAATAACTACTCAATCCCACTGCAGACAGTAGTCGTTTAGTTTCTTGACTATGTTAAAATCTTAGACACTTCCAAAGCTTAGCTGGATGGCTCCCATACTTACACATACAAAATACCAGTCAGTAGACTATGATGCAGATTTTTAAGAAAGCAGTGCCCATCGATGTAATATACTCGGCTCCTAATTATTTACATAGTAAAATGTCACTGAGCATAGATCACCAGATTGGTGGACAAACAAACACACAAAAACAGGGGGCCAAGGAATCAGTGTCAGCTGGACTAAGAGCCATTTTGCGATGTTGTCAAATTTCGTCACAACCCGATGCTCTAGGAAATCACAGTAAACAACAACAGAGCGAACTGTGGATGTGTTTCTTTTCTCTCCAAAGCAATACCTTCTTTGAGGTAAAGTCGATATCCAACCAAGTATGGAAGTTCCAGCGCTACCAACTGATTATGACGTTCCATGACAGGCCTGTCCTGCCCCCTCCGATGATCATTTTAAGCCATATCTACATAATCATTATGCGCCTCAGTAGTCGCTGCAGGAAGAAAAGAGAAGGGGACCAGGAAGAACGGGATCGTGGATTGAGTATGTCCTGAGCTCTTTTATTTTGGGCTAGTTTTAAAATCAGTGCTCCAGTTGGATACCTTCCTATAAACCTCACTGAACTACTTATGTGAAAAATACAACACTCTAATTCCTATGCTTTTTGAAATGCCTCTTTTTTACCCCTTTATTTATTAGTAATTAATAGTGCCAAAGTCCAGCTCACGGACTTCAGAAGTTGAAGGAGTTAAAATCTCTTGTATACACATCTATAAAAATCCAAATCTCCTTTCAAAATGTTTTAATTGTTGCATCTAAAGTGGGCGAGAAAATAATGCTTGACTCGTTACAAAATGCACACAAAAGGGTTTCCAGGAAATATTATTCGATTTCTCTTTCCCGGTAGAGGTAATTTCAGTTTGTTTTTTCTTTTTGTATTATAAAGTAAGCCGATGTGTTCCAGCAGAAAGACGATTGCAGAACGTGACAGCCTTTTTCTGGACATTAGCCAAGGGGGGTAGTCAGGAAGCCATCCACGAGTGGTGAAAGCAGTTTAGATGAAACCTGGCTGTGAGATTCCCAGCGATGCAACTCAGCGGACTCTGCAGAGCTCTGCTTCCACGAAGCCAACCCTTCTCTCCCTCTGCAGAGCTGTTCCTCAGTGAAGAGGAGCTGAAGAGGCTGCACGAGTTCGAGGAGCAGTGTGTGCAGGAGCACTTCCGGGAAAAGGAGGACGAGCAGCAGTCATCCAGCGACGAGCGCATCAGGGTCACTTGCGAGAGGTGCTGCCGGGCTGAGGGTCTGGGGACCCCTGCGACCCACCCAAGGGGGATGCTGAAGCTCAGTTCAGCATTCACCTGGATAGCTCCTGTTTAGTTAGACTGGGGTTTTTAACTAGTATGACAGTTCTTGGGTGATGAATACGTGTTATAGGTAGAAAGGAGTAACATTTATCAGTAATATTATTATTTCTTTTTGACATTTTTTTCTTATTCTTGTGTCTTTTTTTTTTTTTTCATTTATCAGTAATATTAGCTCCCCGCTAAAAAATCCCTGATGGTTCTTGTCTACTTTGACCCCCTCCTTAGGTGGGGCATTACCACACAGTCCTGCAGTAATGGAGAGGATGATCAGCCACAGAAAACCACCGTTCTCTCCCCTTAGCACCTCTTTCCTTTGCCAAGCAAGGTCTGAGCTCTCCTCCCGCCTAGCCTCTTGCTGCCCCTCTGGTGCAGCAAGATCCCTGAGGCTGAGGTAAAGGCTCCTACCTCCGTGCCTTCAGGAGAGCAAGACCTGGGCAGCGGGGAGAGGGGAGAGAGGATTCGCGTCCATGCTCCGTAACAGCGGAAGCTCTAAACTAGAGTGGGATTTACCTTTCAGTCACCCTCACCTCCTGAGCACCCTGCAAAACCAGCACAATTCACGTGATAGCCCTTAAACACGCCGAATGAATGAATGCACGTGTGTGTGAATCAGTGGATGCTTCAATAAATGAATGCAGGCCAGGAGGGACAGATGCAGTGGAATTCTCTGAACTATAGTTTCGCCCTATCCTGAGCTGAGAAAGAGTAATCTCTCTAAAGGGTAGACTGGAAATTTTTACTGTCTGCATTTTAAAATCATGATTTTTAAGAGGCTTTGTTCCTTTACAAACAATGAATGTTTGCTAAAGATCTTAATACTTGATAAAACATCATTCAAAAGACTTTGCCAATATGGTAAAAGAATGAGCCGAAGGATAAATACCTAAGAGTATTCTAGGGTCATCTTTATATCCTTAAATACTCTCCATTAAAGCTTTCTAATCCACACACATGTGTCTATTGAGAAACATAAGCCAACGCAGGACTTCAAACAGCTATTTCTGGGGGGAGAGCTTGGTGGTCTAAGTGCTGGCCTGGCAAGCACAAGGTCCCGAGTTCAGTCCCTGGCACTGGATGCATACTGGCCCTGTGCCATCCTGAAGCAGGGCGTGGCAGCACACACCTGTGACCCCAGCACTAGGGAGGCTGAGGCAGGAGGACCACTATGAGTGTGAACTGTGTGGTGAGACCCTGTATCAAAAAAAAAAAAAATATTCACAAACAGCTGTTTCAGCAAGTGATCACTAATCAAGAGCCCGGATGATGGACTTCATAGCCACCTCGACATCTCCCAGGAGTATGTCCAGGCCCCTGGCTCTGCCTAGCCCACAGGAGGGGAAACAGTGCTCGAAGGTAGCCGCTGTGTCCTTCTAGTCCTGTCACCTATACCTCAACCAAGCCTGACCAGATGCAGACATTAAGCACCAATATTCAGCTGTCATAAGGTAAAAGTTTGTAATAAAACTTTGAAGCACTTCTTTGCCTTTTAATAGTAATTGCTACACTTTCAAAATATAAAAGTGATTTCTTCCTAAAACCAGCTGTACCATGTCCACCATCCCATGTAAAATTTCTACTTTTTAGTTAGACATTAACTTGAATGTAATCCCAGTCAGTCATTTACAATGGAAATTGTGTTTTGTTTTGCTCTGTGCGCCAGGTCACCACCTCCCTTCCCCTAGCATTGTTTGGATTTTTACCATTCTTGGACCAAGGTTCAAATTACATTTTTCTCTTGGGGTTGCGTGCCCACGTCACACGAATGAAAGGGTGCACGGCAATAAAGCATGCTGCTTCCTGTTTCCCTTGGCTGGGATCCCCACGGGTAGCGGGGTCACATTCCTGCCCTTCCATTTCCCTTTGTTGCCTTGTCTAGGCTGACTCACAGGTGAATGTAGAAGACAAAGAGGCGGAGGGCGGGCCTAGCGAGCTTTCCTTCCCTCGTAGGCAGGCCAGCTACTGGGAACGGGCTAAGGTGGAAGAATGGAACAAAGCCCAGTTATTTGTATTGAACGCTGGGCACCTGTTATTACTTTCAAAATCAGATGCTTGTACATTCAGAACTTTTTGTCAATTGTTCAATCTCTGTTCTATACCAAATTAGTTTTAGTGTCACACATTGCCATTTGGTGATTCTCATGCTTTCTCTCGCTGTGGCACTGGCACCATTCGACAGCATGGTCTGGGTAGGACCTTTGGGACTTCCTGTTGTCTGGGTACCTGTTCGGAGCCAGTGATTCTCATGACTCAGTCTTACCGGTGTGTTCATACAAGACATTTAGATATTAAGAAGAGTCATGCTTTTCTGTGCGGGGTAGGTTGGATCCTTCTGTGCGGAGCCATGTGCCTGGCTTTCTCCTAATGCTTGGAAACTGAACTCAAATTGCAAGGGCCCCCTTTATTTTTATTGTGAATTGTGAACATCTTTTTTGTCCCTCAATAAGAGATTTGCAGCATGGCTCAGTGTTAACACACACAGGGGAGTGGCGGAGAGTTAACCCCAAACCCTACCCAACGTTCCTACCCGCAGTGAGTAGGGGGCGCTCTAGTCATCCCCTTCTTCTCAATCCTGGATGTCTCCCCAGTGCGCTGGGTTCTGTGAGTGGCACCACCCTTCAGCTAGTTCAACAGGACAGAGAATGGCAAATAATTACGATAACTACCTGTTTCTCACTAATAGTCATCAACTTTGTTTCCTTTCCCGTTCAGGTAAGCCCTGGTTACCTATCTCTTCCCCTCTCTACTACCACCCAGAAACTAGGACAAGCTTGCATCGTGTTCGATTTCCATCCCTTTAGTTACCCTTCACTGAGCCCTCTAGATTCATTCTCTTTCCGTCGAGGTTGCAGCATTTAATCTCTAATCCAGCTCTGGGCCCCTTGCCCACTGCGCTCAGGCAGCAAGTCTCTCCTGTCTCTCCACTTCTATCTCTCGACTCTCCTCTTCCTCCAGCTCTTGATTCCACATCCTCGCCTACTTTTATTTCCTCCGAGCACCGTTTCCTTCCTCCAGCAGGAGCTTTGCATGTGCTAATCTCTCTGTCTGATAACCTCTCCTTCCTGTCAGGCTCATCATCTGACTCTCTGCCCAGATGCCAGTTTTATGGAAAACTTCTCTAACCACCTCATTACTTAGACAGGGCTATAACTTAGATCCCTGGGCCCTAAGCTCACTGAAGAGTAGCGTTAGGGTGGGATTTTACCCAGCAGGATACTCCCAGATCCTGTACATCTTCATGTAGTTACACATTTTTTCACATGAATGAATGATTCAGAATTTGTCTCCTGACTCAAATACAAATTTCTAACCCATCTTTAGTCAGTTCCTTCAAAGAATATCTGGGGAAAAAAAGAGCAATAAATTGTGTTTTTTTTCTGGGTTCAAAACATTGGTTTTCCTGTTAGGAACAAGAAGTAATCTCAAGAGACAAAGAACTGTGCCACCCATAACTGCCAAGAAAAATGCTTAATGTCAACAACACCAAAACAAGGGCGGGTGTGGGCAGCTTATGCTTCTTTGCTCAAAGGGCTATCATTAGACAACCAGGCTGGGAGGATGAGAATATTTGATAGATCACTTCTGCCAGCTCAAGCTAGGTAGAACTTGTCAATCTGAATATTCTATCCTGATTCTACCCGATAAATAACTGGTAATGTTTATCAACATCAATTTGAGCTTCAGAGCCCTCTCTGAAAAATCTACCACTGAACACTATTCATTGTGGTTCAGTATCCCTTATCCTGGCACAAGAGCAATCAGGTTAGAAACAGTCTTACCTGAAAAATCTTGTCAGATATTCAACTGTTTTTCTTAAATAATTAGAATTATGTTTTTTCCTTAATTTTATTGGTACATTATAGGCATATGTAATGACTGCATTTATTACAGAGAATTTGTACCTGTACATGATATAACTTGATTTTTCTCTTTTCTCCCAACCCCCTATCCTCCCTTCAACTCCCCATTCCCTCTCTATTTTAAAACATTTTGTTTCAATTTTTCTTTCTTTTCTCATCATTTTTTTTCTTTTTCCTTTCTCCCTCCCCCTCCCTAGTCCTCTTCCCATTTTGACATTTTCTTCCTATTTAGCAATATTTATTGTACCTGTTGGTCCTTATTTACACTTTCAATTTCTTAGACCATAGAAATAATGTGGTACTTTTACCTATGTCCAATTTATCTCACTTAAGAGTATGGCCTCAAGGTGCCTCCATTTAGTTGGAACATCTCAAGCTTATCCTTCTGTATGGCAGAATAGTACCCCATTGTACACACACACACACACACACACACACACACACACACCCCTTCTTTATTCATTCCTCAGGTGATGGCCTCTTGGGGCTGTTTACAAGATTTAGCTATTATAAGCTTTGCCGCTATAAATGTGGGTGTGCATTGATCTCTCTTGTATGATGCCTTTAATTCCTTTGGGGTGATACCAAGAAGGAGAATCGCTGGGTTAAATGGACCTTCTAGCCCCAGTTTTTTGAGGAATCTCTGCACTGATTTCCAGAGTGGTTGCACCAACCTACACTTCTACCAACAGTGGAGAAGGGTTCCTTTTTCTCCACAGCCACGCCAGGATTTGCTATTATTTGATGTCTTGATAACAGTCATTCTTTCTTGAGTGAGATGGAATCTCAGCATTGTTTTAATTTGCAGAGAATTGTGTCATCCAGTGTGTTTTTCCTCTTCCATGACTTTAACAAGAAGTTTGGCACCAAACTTAAATGTCTGATTATAATATAAACATTATTGTAGACTTTTAGAATATTTGGTGTGTATTACACTGCATTGTTCTTTTAATTATTTTTTGCTTCTATTTACATAGTTATTATTATGCCTGATATTTCAGAATACATGAGATACAACCTGTACATAATGTATTTTTAATGCACTTGGTCCTGTACTTAAGG